ATTCGGGGCGTCAGTTTCCTCATCAGTCTGTTGGAATGGGGCGGTCCCGATAGGCGTTTCAGCGAGGGTTATTATATGCTGTAAGCACCTTTGCACGATGCCCGGCACCAGGTCAGCGCCCAGTAAAAGGTGGCTGTTACTGACTCAGGATTCACTTTCAGCAGTCTTACCCAGAGTGCTCGCTCCCGGCTGTCTTTTTGCTGGCAGGCACCGGTGGGCAGGGTGTGTCCTGCAGTTCTGGCTCCCCGTCCCACATTTATTTATTTGTGGTTAAGAGCTTAGGCTCTGTAGCCAAAATGCCTGGGTACAAATCCAGACTCCCACCTACTTCCTGACCGACCTTGGGAAAGTTACTTCTTCAACTTTCCTGTGTTTGTATTTCATCTGTAATTCATCTGTAAAGATGCATGTAAAGACAACCAGTGTTAGCCGGTGTTTGTTAGAATAAACGAGCTATTATAATTTAAGTGCTTAAAACGCTCGGTGGCCTGTAGTTACTAACTCAGCTAATGTTCATGCCTTATCATTGCTATGTCCTTGATCTTGGCTCCCCGTTGATGTTCTGACTGCCTAGAAATGAGTTTGGACAGTTTTGGGAACTGACGCACCTCACTCGACCAGTACCCCTTCCTCCCAAGTGCCAGAGAAGCCAGAGAATCCACCCTAAAGCAAGCTTGGGGGAAGTACCCCAATACTCCACTAAACATAATTAAGTGTATCAGCAGCGATTAGATTTTCTCTAGTTCTCTGTCTTGCGGGTGTGGGTGTCATTTCTCCCCTCCAGCATACCCAGTGTGCTAAGGCCATTTGTCCACCCAGCTCTCACCACCCCCACAGCCAAATTCCTCCCCACTCTGCCTCTCTCATCTGTCCCCAAACCGGCAGAACCCTCTCCTCAGCCTACATCTGTTGACTCCACTGTCCCTGACCAGAGCTCCTCACCCAGGACAAAGTAAAACAATACGGACTCCGTAGTACCTGGGAGGGGAGGAAGCGTTCACCTCATAAAAGATCAATAAAATTTAAAAAAAGAAGAAGAAGATGGGGGTATCATGTTTACCCATCAAATTAGCAAAGATTAAGGGGGGGAAAAAAGTAGCAAAGATTAGCAAGTGTGTGCAGTTAGTAAGCTCCGGCCCTCACATACTCTGGACTTGTGAACCGGTGTCCAGATAAGATCTTTCTGAAAGCCTTTTGGCAATATGTATCTTGAAAAGGTTCCTATTCTTGGACCCTGTAATTCTGCTTCCAGGAAATTTTTTTCACAAAGCTTCTTCTAAAAAAATGAAAAAGCTGCTAGAAAAATAGGCACGAAGTTGTTTATCACTCCAATGTTTATCATATAGAAAGGGTGGAAAGTTAACATTCCAACAAGAGGAAATAGGGTTAAGTATGCATACACATACAGCCAAGTACAGTCATTCAGAACTCTCCTAATGTGGTGGCAATGTCACAACATAGCAGGTGAAAAAGTGGACCCACAAAATTGGACATTCAGTGTAATCCTAATTATGTGATATACAGACACAGAAAACAAACAAGTGCATACACATGATGAGTTTTGTTTTCTTCTTTTATACTTCGCAGCATTTAAAGTTTTTTTCTATAGGCCCTTCCTGGTGGCACAACAGGTTAAAGAAAATCTCACTGCAGCCACTTCAGCACAAGTTTGATCCCTGGCGAGGGAGGAGACCCACATGGCGTGGCAGACCTCTCCTGTCTCCCCGTTGTTCCCCGCAGCAGTGTACTTCGTCCATCTGCCTGTTCTGCTCCCCACTCTGCCTCTGGTGAATCCTCTCACCCCCTGCACCTCTGACCTGTACGTCAGTTATGTATGCATAAATAAATCTTTAAAATTAATTTTTTCTATAATGCATATCCATTTCTTTTATAGTCAAGGGGTCAGAAAATAATAATAGTTCTGTAATAATTTTTAATAGCTTCAACTCCCATCCCAAACATACACTCCTAGGTCTTAACACCAGTCCAAATTGGTCTGGGGGCCCATCAGAATTTTGGCTATTGGGTTTCCAGTCATGAATACAATAGACTTCAAAATTTTAAATCAAGCACCATGCAATCATGTAGACTATGATCTGTATTCTGGTAAGACACAAATTTTAAGGAGTAATATCTTGCATGGGATCAGATGGTTTGGATCCCTCCTTAATCCAGACCTACCTATCTATTTATATACCTACGAAACCAGTCAAAAGGTGACAAGCCCGCCCTCTAACCTATCCAGGCAAACTGGTTCATTACTTTCATGCTCCTCCTCAGTCCCATCTGTAACGCCTTCACCAGGTAACTCTCCCATATTTCCTGACCATGTTGTCTTAGCTAAAAAGCCTGCCCTGATTACAGCTAAGCATCAACCCCCCCCCCCCACCTACACAACACCCGCAAGAATCTCAGTGGGTTTTCATTGTCTATGTAAAACAGTTTGGCAATGGAATGAGTCATCGCCTATGGCCGCCACCTTTCTTCTTGAAGCTTTAATGTTGTCTCTGAGCTTCTGAGATCTTTCCTAGCTCTGAACGCAGCTTCCTCTCCTCCTAGCCAGTTCCCCAGATGGGTCCTTAATTGGCCCTTCCTGAACGCTAGGTCCCGACGGAGGACCCTCCTAGTTCCCTGAAGAACTGCTTCTCTTGTTTCTGGCCTGCAGCTCATCGTGAGGCCAGTCTCCTCCCTACGCCAGGCCAGTCTCCAGGGATAATAGACTTGGGCGAGAACACCTGTGGTCTCAACGAGGTCCTGCGCCAGGACAATTTCCCAAACCCTTCCCTATGCTTGGTCCTTCTAGAACCAAACCATTCGGTCGTTTCCCCACATGTCCTAGCACATAGCCCCCACCCACGCACCCCAGCCAGCAACCCACAGTGCCATGCAGATGTGTGCCCCTTTCTTCCATGCCAAAGCCTGCTATTCAAGGCTTTTGACTAGCCAGCCCCAACTCCCCTCCCCCCACTCCCCTCCACACACCTTTCACTCCTTCACTCCAGCCCAGTCTCATCCAACTTCCAGTCTTCCCCAGCACTTTATAGGCATGCCTCCATGCCTTCTCCCCAAAATGTCTGTCCCAACTTTTATTGTTCTGCTCCTCTGTTCAAAGTTTACTAATAATTTTACCATCGCTCCCTCCTTTCTTAAGACTTACGAGTCTGGGGCCCTCCCTGGTGGCACAGCGGGTTGAAGCACAGCACTAAGCAGCTAAAGCCACTTGAGCATCAATTCTATCCCCACCCCGAAGGTGACCACATGGCGTGGCAGACCTCTCCTGCCTGCCCACTGCTCCCCTCAGCGGTGTACTTCCTCAGTTGGCCTGTTCTGCTCCCCACTGTGTCTCTGGTGAACCCTCTTACCGCCCCTGCATCTCTGGCCTGTACCCCAGTTCTGTATGCACAAATAAATAAATCTTAAAAAAAAAAAGATTTACGAGTCTGATAGCTCTTGTGTCTGTCTTTCTACTAGGGAGAAAGACAGGGAGCATGTTTTAAACAGCCCTGAACTCCCCAGTACAAGCACATTGTCCCTGTCCCTTGAATGTACCCTGCCTCCTCCTTCGCTCTGAAAGGTCCTAAAAGTCGTTCTTCCTTCTTTGTGTTTCCTGATCCCCATCATTCAGCTCCATCCGGAACAAGGTTTCACCCACTATCCCTATCACTGGGTATGAGACAGATCCTGAGATCTCCCTGTAACTTAAAAAAAAAAAAGGGGGGGGGGAAATGATTTTTTTTCTGCTCAGATTGATTTGGTTTAAAGACTGTGAACTATGACACCCAAGTCTAGCTGATTCTAACTCGTTTAATATAAGATGACTTTTCCATGCTTCCGTTCATTCACCTCTAAATGGGAATAGCATCTTCATGCCTTACCCCCTCCACCAAGACAAGGGCCCCAGATACAATAAAGTAGAACAGCTGCGGGAAATCACAGGAGGCAGGAGAGGGCTGGCATCAGGGGCCGAGACACAGTCGCGGGCCGCAGCCAGAGGCCAGGAATTAATTCCCTTACTCGGCTTGGAATTGGGGGTAGGAGCCCAGCAAGCTTGGAGACAAGCAGAGCAGTACTGTTTGCAGAAGCGGCCCCCTAGAAGAGGTTCCTGGAAGAGGTTCCTGGAAGAGGGTGAGGGCTGTGGGTGCAGAGTCCTCCTGACTCTCCCACCCTAAGGTTCTTTCACTGCCTGTGTAGGTGCAGGCGGTGGAGAGGAAATGGCTCCGTCTCTTTACTGAGCTCTGTGAGCTTGAACAAACTGACTTTTACCTTCTAGTCTCAGTCATTTGGTCTGTAAGTTGGGGACAAGATCACTTACTTTGAATATTTTTTAAAGATTTATTTATTTATGCATACAGAATTGGGGTGCAGGCCAGAGGAGCAGGGGCCGTGAGAGGCTTCGCCAGAGACAGAGTGGGGAGCAGAACAGGCAGATCGACGAAGTAC